AGACCAGTCCTCCCCAGAGTCCGATGCGCCTTGGTCTTTTTGGAGACTGTGCGTCCCGAAGAAGCGTGCAGATAGAGTGAAAGAGCGGCAAGACTTGAGATCCTGTACCCTCGAAGCTTCATCAAGCCTCAAGACAGCCTGAACACAAAGCCTCAGTCGTGTTTGAGGTAGAAGTCCTGATCATGATGGACGAGCCGTTGGTGCAAGGGAGCTCGCCATTGAAGCCGGGTTGTACTCTTGCCGTCCTGCATCTCAGCAAATTGACGGTGGTAGGTGTCATCCTCATCCTCAACCTCCTCCTCNNCATCATCATCGTCGTCATCGTCATCGTCATCATCATCATCATCGTCTTCATCACCATCATCATCGTCATCATCATCACCATTGCAGTCACCGTGATGTCGCTGCTACTATCGCTGTTGTCTTCGGTCCCATGAGCTGTTGCTGCAAGTGGTGCTGCTGTTGGTACCTTGGTGCTGTTGCTGCCGCTGTCGCTGCTGCTGCTTGCAGCACAGCCATCATCCCTGTAGGTTGCGGTGGCCATTACACCGGTATGATGGGCTCTTGGCCTTATCGGTACCAAGGTACCCTGAAGCATCGGAGATTGACATCACCCGGGGAACCGGCCAAGTGGTGGTCACCGAGAGTCGCCGCATCTATGCCTTTGCTGCGCCCCTGTCAGAAGTGCTGAAGCTACTCCGACGGCAACTCAGCCCTTCCTAGGACAATTGCAAGAGAGGGTGGGCTTGTATTGAAGACTCCCAGATCTAAAACTAAGCCTACTTCAACCCAACGCGACCTACAATTTTGGCAAGTAAGACTCTACGGGGCTTGAGCCTTGTGTTTCCCGCGCTAACTCGGTCTGGTCGAGGCTATCGGAGAACTGCCTGGCGGACGAGAACTCCGGTCGCATGGCGCGAGCTGGAGCAGTTCTAAAGTAAGGCTCCATGTGACCCCTTTATGGCCCAACTAAAGAACATGTGAACACATGCTGTGTTCACATGTTCTTTACAGTTGGGCCGTAAAGGGGTCCTATAGTATACTTGTACTTCTTGCCTCGGCGTCACTTGTTGAAGAAGCTGCGCCGGGCTCTGGACTCGGAACAACATGTGCTGAAGCCGAACCTTATCCTTGCTGCACATAATCTCTCACCAGGTGAGTAGTCAAGTCTTACCGGTTTTGTGATTGTATACGTCCTTTAAACTGACCGTAATCAACAGCTCTAACCCCTAAACCTTGAAGCCTGAACCACGCCGGTACCTTGGCCCTACAAAGGCCTTAGGCCTTAAACCCTAAGACTTATAAGCCCTAAACAAGATGCCAATCAACCTTGAATTTGTTGAGCCCTCCCTTTGAGGTATCGAGCTTCAGCCGGCTCTATACCCGCAGCTGCGTCGGCAAAGCAAGGGCTTCGGGTTTAAAAGGGTTTAGGGTTTGGGGTGGCTTTAGGGTACATCTTTTGCGGGTAAACCGGTGCAAGGACTCATGCAAGAAGCACCCATGGCATGTTCAAAGAGCATGTTTCTCTCGATATGGTGATAGATCTGATAGATGCTCAGGCAACTTGGCCGTCAATTGGCCATGCTTCGCCAGCTCTCATCCGCTGACTTCCGATCCTTCGATTCGCACTTCAGCTTCGCCACCTGGGCAAAGCAAGCTGCTGAAGAAGACTCGCAACGTTTGGCTGCAGACGTGGCCGAAGCTCCCGTGGAGGAGTTGCCTGCAGAGGAGTTACCAAAAGTCGGTGAACCCGTTGTGGCAACGGCAGATGACCTCTGCGCTCGGTTGGATGCCTGCGAAAGCTCCGAGCTAGCGAATGTCATTCAGGCCGTGGAGGAGGCGCTGCAAGAGCTGAAAGACGATGGCTCCTTCGTCATCAGCAAAAGTGGTGGACGGGGCAAGGTGCAGAACAAGTTAAAGCGCATAAAGGCCACAAGATTGCTGGAATCGTTTGGGGGGATGGGGAGCGGGGCCAGTCTTTTCTTTGGGGAATCAGAACTTCAGAACCGTAGACCAATTAATTCACATCTCAGAAGAATTTGGATATCCACCAATCCCGCGAATGCGCATTGCCTCCAAACACTCTCCGAGCCAGCATCAGGGTTTAGGGTTTAGGGTTGAGGGTGAGAAGTTTCCCTAGAAAACCGTGCGTCGCAGAATCCTAGGGTCTTAGGACCCTCGAAATCCTGAACTTCCAATCCCAGGAGTCTCCTTCTTATGCCTTTTGTTTCCGACCACAGTCGCGTTCTTTGCAGGCCCGCTTGGCCAAAGCTGAGGAGGCGTCCGCAGAGCTGGCAAAAGCGGCTGAGGCGCATGGAGTTGTCATAGGGGTTGGTTGGGTTTTGAGTTTCAGAATTATACTGACGATGTATCCCCGATTCTTGGGGGGATTTAACGTTTACATGTTTGAGTGGCTCTAGCCGGCGTCGTCTCAGCATGCTAATATTCAGGCGTCATACCCAACAGTGGTAATTCCACAAAACCACACCTGCCCATTCCCTGAATTGAGGCATGTTTGTGGCATGTTTGTGGATTCGGCGCATTTTCAAGTTGATGCCAGGTTGTCTCAGAAGCCCAAGTTCCGTCACCGGATGAGATGGCTGGCACAGCTGAAGAGCAGGCCGAGGTGAGGGTCTTTGGGCAAGGTCGCCGCGAAGCCGGCAGTACCTTGGCGCTTTCTATGTTCTGGTGGAAGAACCGAGTGAACCAACTAGCTGAGTGTTTCTACAGATCACGGTTATGGTTTCTTACATTAAACTTCCTGAATTCGAACAAGAACCCAGCAAGTATTGCGAGGACTATCGCTGTACGGATATGTGCTTTCGAGCCCGGAGCATTTTCGCAGCCTCAACATTCCTTCAACACCCAAGCCCTAAACCGGAAAGCTCGGCGACGCTTAAAATATCCAAATCCCAACATCAGGTGTGAAGTTCCCTAAATTGCGGTCCGTTCCTGGGTCCCCAAGACAGCATGCCACTCTTCAGCAAAGCTGTAGACAAAGGACTCTAAACTCTAAACTCCTAGAAGGAATTTCAGTTCGAGATTAGAGAGCTAAGCAGCTCAACATTCGTATGACAGCAGCAAATACTCGTAGTTGTCCTCTTGGCCATGCAGAGTATTTTCATGATAACAGTAATCATCATAATCATACTTATCAGCTTAGTAATGGCTACAACAATCATAACAGTAGTTACTAGTAGTAGTAGTAGTA